CCTGCCGGCCGCCGTGGGGCAGGACGCCGCCGCTGGAGGCCTGGGGCGTACCTCAGCCCTCTCCAGGGCTCCGGAAGCGGAAAACGCCACGTGGAATAGTCCCCGGTATATTTTTAATTGTTACTAATAGCCCAAGGGCGGTCGTGCGCGGCGTCCTGTGCTGGCTGCTAACCTCTGAGACCCTGGGACCGGAGGGTAATTTGTTCAGGCTGTGCCGTTTAGAAGTAATTTCTCTGCCTATTATTCGGTTTGATTTTTTTTTTTTCCTTCAGCAAGACAGATCCCAGCTGTTTAGCTCTGTTAATACAGATTTAATTAATTGAATATCTGAAATGATGTTTCTCTTGTGCTCTCTTTAGGACTTCCAGCTGATAACGCAGTTTAAGCGTGTGTGAAGAATGGCTGTGACTCAGAGCTCTCCGGTGGCAGAGAGCTGTCTGGAAGATGCAGCCCTCAGGTAATGGCCCTCACCGGTGGCCTTCGTTTGGGAAATCCCCCGAGTTTTGCACAGTGTGGCCTGTGCCCGCAGAGATGTAAAGGAATAACCTGCACATGAGGCCCAGGGAGAGCTCGGGAGCCTTTTGAGGTACATGGGCGAGGTCTCTCCACAGGGGGAGATGAGCAAAAAGACTGTTGGTTCTGCCATACTGAGTAAACTAAATGGCCTCTGATGGCTTGTGAATGGGCTGTTGTGCCAGCCTGCGGTGCTCTGGGTGGAAATAACCCGCTTCATCTAGCGAAGCACACAGCACTTCCAGTTGCTGGAGGAAGCCTTGATGAGAGGAGGTATTGGAAGTGGGGCCTGCATCACCAGAGGGATGTACTTTTGGGCCTCTACTTCCTTCTGTCCTTTTAAAAACTAAGTTTTGAGTTATGTTTCATCCAGTGGTAGTCAGCTAGCCATTGCTGCTCAGTGCCTGGGATAGTGTTATGCTGCTGGGAGAGAAACGCGCTGCCAAATCGCGCCTGGCACTGCCAGTGCTGTTCTAGCATTAGATGGTGCCAGGTTTTTGGCAGCGCTCTGCATGCCTGAGAGTGGAGTAACTCCTTCTTGGTGGAGTTAATCCTAGATTGGATGCAGACAATGCACAGAAAATTTAATAATTCTGTTGCAGACATTTTGTTTAATATTGCATCTTTTGTATAAAAATGTAGGTTAGTGTTAAGGGTTGAATTTGGGGTCTTTTACTCCTGTTAACTGTATGTGTTTTTTAGTTACACGCAAATGGTTTGCATGTTTCGCTACAGGTGGGGGCTTGCTGAAGCAGCAGCTGTCGTCAGAAGAAAAGGAATAAGGTGTTCGTGCTGCTTTGAAGATCCCCATTTGAAAGAGATCTGAGAAGATGGGAACTTACAGTCCGCTCTTTGAATGCAACTGCTAGAGAAGTACTTGTAACCTGACACATCAGAGGTGGTTGGGAGCAAGGTTTAACAAAAATTACATAAACAATTTGTTAATTGTTAATCCCTTCTCATGACTTGTTTAAAATGGTATTTTTTCAGTGACCTCTATTTATTAAACTTCTTTATATTTAATTTAAACTTGCTTATTCTGGTTTTCATTACAAGGCTGCGGGGTACAGCAGGATTTGAAAGTCATGTTGGATTCCTCTCTGTGGGAGACTGGAGGGGCAGGAGTGGGGCACGGGCTGCCTGGTGCCCCTCCTGCCACACACCCCTGCTCTCCTCTGTAGCCTCTGCTGTAAAGGCATATTTTTAACAAGGCTTCCTTTTGTCTGGCACTCAGAAGGTGATCAGATGTTTAAAGTTTTCCACAAAGGAAAGAAGGTCTGGAATTCCCGTTTTTGCTGTGTACACAGCCAGTACAAGTTTGCAAGATACCCTTCCCGTGCTTCAGTTGCTGACTTGGAAGAACTTTCTCATTACCTCCCTTCCGTCGGTCTGCGGGGAGGTGAAGCCCACAAAAGATGGGGGAGTTGGAAAAGGCTGCCCTATATGTAAAACACATTGAAACTGGTGGGGAGGGGAAAGACGATAGTCGCATATTCAGACAGAAACGTTGTTTGAACTCAAAAGCGACTATAGTTGGAGCAAAGTAGTCTATTGCTCTCACCAAGATGCCTGACCTATTTGGATTCAGTGCAGTCTTCTGGAGAACGCCGTGTTTGTAAAATAATCCAAATTTAGGTGTTTTTTTAGGCTAAACCTGTTTTCAATTTTTAAAAAAATGGTTCAATGGTCTTCAGTCATGTTACATAACAATTATCCTGTCATAGATGCTAGTGTAGCTACAGTGCCGTCTATATAGAAATTAAACTCCGAAGCATGGGCACAAGCCTGCTGTTGTACAGTGTGCTATCTGCAGGAGTGTAACAGTGTCAATGTGTTTAGGTTGTTAGTGGCTAGGGTTTATAATAGTGATGCTTTTGATAAGACACTGGCACACATTGGATTAGTTCCCAAGTTACTGATGGTTTATGTCAAATAGGTGCTTCTGTCATGTAGTTCATATAAAAGAATTGCAGTGCTGAATGTTTTCAGGGCTCATCTAATTTTTAAGTGTCCTTGGCACTGTTCAAGTGAGCCCTTCTGCTATCTGAATATTGCTGATTGCTGAATGTGCATTTGTTATGCTCCAGGTGGAAATATATGTCAAAGTATTCAACATTACTGCGAAAAAGTGTTTTCTTAGTTGAAGTCTATAACAAATACAAAATACAATTTTACTGGTCATCTATATGAACAAGTTCTACCTGCAAAACTAATAATCGTATTTCTTACGGATTTATGTTGTGTCCAGCAATCTTCCTCTTTCCCAGTATTGGCCCAGGACGGGAGCGATGGGTGCCCTGTGACTGGCTGCCCTCAGGGTGAGCAGGGGTTTCTGCCTGCTGACTGCCAATACACATGCTCGCTGTGTCAGGGGTCTCTGCTTCTGTACCAGGTATTTTTGAAATCGGAAAAAAAAAAGGAATATAGGCTCTACAGTCAGCCACGTAAAGCATGTGCAATGTGGACAATAAATACAAACTAAGCTGACTCGCTTATTTTCCTTGAAAAACTGTTTCTGTGATAAAGCTCTGCTCCATTTGTCTCAGGGCTGAACCCAGGACTTGTAGGCTCGGCTATGCTATAACAAAAAAGGCAGTAGAAAAGGATGGAGAAAGTCTGCTGGCAGTAGTGATTATCCCATCAGAGCACTGAGGAACTGCTGCAGAGCTCTTAGTGCATGCCTGATGCACCACGTGAGCTCTCCTGAGGTCCTGCAACTCTTGAGCAGCTGGAGAGGGACCACTTTTTCCCCAAATTCACCAGGGTTTGTGCACATAGTGGAAGAGAACAAACATAAGACTATCGTGAAGGTTCTGCAATGATGAGCACAAGTACAGGTTTAGGGCACCGGAGCTCCATGCCTTACCACAGCAGGTGTGTTAGCAGGGTATGATGGTCAGTGCTGTACCAGTCCTTCTGCAGCACAAATGCAATCAATAAAGGTCAAAACAATTCACCTCACCACAACTTTGGTGCCTTGACCAGAACAAAGGAAACTGAGAGAGAGCCCATGCGGTCCAAGAGGAGGAAAATACTGGTGTTGAATTAAAGCCAGGGAAATGGAGCAAGACACGCTTTTGTACCTGGGAAATGCTAGTGGGATTTAAGATTCTGTTTATTAGCACTGTACATTTTGCAATCTGTACATGACTTTTACTGGGCAAAAGCAGCTGGATTGCTTTACATTTCATCAAGGCACTTTCCTCTGCTTTTACTGCTCTGCACTACTGGAGCGCTGAAGTATTGTTAACTTAGATTTGTGAGTTTATTTTTGAGCACTTAATTGTTTTTTATGCAGAGCTTGTTAAGAGAGCTGAATTTCTTGTGATTGTTTTCTGAGAACTTTCATATTATTTCAACATGTATTTTGTACCAATTCCCTGTTTTCTTCAACTTGTGTGTTATTGTTTCATCGTGCTCTCCAGCCACATACGGAGAAGAAAAATCAGCCTGTGATGAATAAAAAAGGCAGATTTTTCTTTTCCCTTGGAGACTGAATTCAGCTACACACCCTCACCTTTGAAAAGCTTCTGCAACGTAGCAACTTCCAAGATGATGGAGAGACTGTTTTTTTTGCCACAAAATTAAATTGGAAATAAAAATATTGACTATGAAGGAATTTCAAATCATAGTGTTTGCTCAATGGTAGGACCACTACTTTGCCCATAAAATTAACCAATTTAAGGACAGCACAGGAAAAGTGAACTTTCCTCATTTCAGCGCCAGGTGGCAATATTGCTTAGATGAAAAGGAAAGCCTGGCACATAAGCTGTAGGCTTTTTTACCAGAATCTTCTAATGAACTTAATAGGCATCGAGAGCCCATTGTCTTAAATATTTTAGAGATGGTAACATCTTCATGCTGCTGAGGAGAGCAGTCCTTAGGCTTGGGCTGACAGAGCATGGCCACCCTGACTGCCAGGAGCCCGGCCTAGGGACCTGCAGGGACGGAGTGTCTGCCCTGTTACAAAGGTAACAACGCTGTGGGGGTTAGAAGAGCCAAGTGGCAGCGAGGAACCCTTATTATCTTGGGCAAACACATGCCAAAGCGGTTGGCCAGCGTTACCCTTCCTCTGTTTCCAGTCATAGGGAGCGGGCAAGGCAGTGGCCAGTGCGGGCCCTGAGGGTAGCCCTGGCTCCGTCTGGGGAGGGTTTCCCTCTGCTGGGGCTGGGCACGCGTTTCCCCCTGTGGGGCCGTGGGGTTCAGACGGCACCGACGCCGGGACTGCCCCTCAGGTTGTCAC